TTTTTTGGTGAAAAGGGGAGTAGGATCTTCTTGTAGTTCTTTGTAGTAGGTGGTGTCAGAGAGCTGTCTCTTGGCTTCCTTTATGTAATCCTCACAGTTTAGGATGACTATGGCTCCTCCTTTATCTGCTGGTTTTATTACTATTTGGTGGTTAGATCTTAGAGATTCTATGGCCTTTTTCTCTGGTAGAGAGAGGTTGTTGTGGTGGTGCGTGTTGCTCATTATTTCATTGTTCATTCTTTCCCTGAAGCAGTCAATGTAGCAGTCAAGGTTAGGGTTTCGTCCATTGCAAGGTGTCCAATCTGATGTTTTTGGGGGCTTTTTGGCATTGATCCTGTTGTGGAAAAAACACGCTGTAGAATTTGGAATCGGGTCAGGTAGAAACTTATTTAGATAGCTATCGGAGAGGGACCATGTGGCCTCTCCGCTTTACAGCCAGGGCAATTAACCTTTTATAGATTCAAGACAAAGGGTTGCCTAAACTAGCTTTTCCCTCTTTGGGGCTATCTGTTTTGTGTCCTTCAAGACAGCTTTAATGGTCATCTTCCTCTTATCTAAGGAATTTCTCTCCCCACCCCTGAGGCCTCAGCTGTTCTTTGCTTCCACAATCCTTTCCTGAATGTTGTCAGAGGATGAGTTGTTGTTGGGAGTGGGTTCAGTTTGGTTGTGGAAATATTCTTTGAGGCGCAGGCATCGGAAGAATTCTTCTAGTTCTCCGCACTGAAGTATTTTATTAGGGTATTTTTCTGGACAGAAATTTAGGCCTTTAGAAAGGACAGATTTTTTCAGTTTTGGTAAGCATGTGTGTGGAGAGATTGATAATATTTGTGGGTTGGTTGCTGCTTGCAGTTTCATCAAGTCTGAGGTTGGAATGTTGTAAGGTGTTGGTGTTGTTCCTCTGATGGTTGTTTTTTGGCTGGGGAACTCGTTCTTGGAGTAATTTGTTCCATTTCTTCTTTTTATGTAGGATGAATGCTGTAGAAAGTTTTTCATAGTCTCTTTGTATCCACTGTATATTGTCAGGGAACATGCGTAGATTTCTATCTTTTAAGTTGTTGTAGTATATGGTGATGTCCTTCCTGAGTTGGTCTCTTTTGGAGTAGAGTAGGTGAAGTAAATGATTTCTAATTTTCTCTGAAGTTCTTCTGCATAGCTGTGAAGCATATTTGGAGTTGTGTGTAGTAGTCAGGGGACTGTAGATGTTTAGTCCTCGGGAAATGATGTTGTGTTTCTTGCAAAGGCTCAAAATATGTCACTGTTGAGTTTGGCTTCTTTCTTTTTCACGTTGTACAGTTTCCATTTCAGATGGCTGAATTCGATATCTTCCATGTTGCAGGGGTTTAGGTGGTAGCTGTGTTGGTCTAAGGACCAAAGTAGAGTCTCTCTAAAAATTTGGTCTTAAAATAGAAAATTTTTGAGTTTTATACAATTTTTAAAAAGCAGTCTTATGTCAGTGCAGTGATCTGCTCTCTGATGAACTGCATAGTCATAAAAAGTATGACTATGCAGTTCTGAAGAACTTAACCTTTCACTGCTTTTAAGATACTGCTATGTGACGATAACACTGTCCAGACTTTCCAGCATATTTCAAGTCAATGGAACTGCAGCCCCTTGCTCAGTCAATCGGAAAGATGAGTTTTTTCCTGAGCGTAAAACTGGGCTGTGGCATCTGCTTCCCTTGGTTCAACCTGTCATACTTCCCACTCACCTCATGGTTTACAGCAGTCAGGATGCTGAGAATATCTTCTCCTCTGCAAAAACAAACAGCCTCAGCATTAGTAACAATAATAAAGTGTCAGCTACCCTGACTTCCTCAAGCACTGTTCAGCCATCAGAAATTTGTTGCTGTTTTTTCCTGCTTCCTTAATCATATCCAATGATATTGGCCATCTGTCATGCACACACAGTGAATCTAAACTATTAAGATGACACTTGGCATAAGCTAGTTACTCAACCAACCAGTAACTACTGTCTTCTGAGTTTGACTATGTTATATTTAGTGTTTTCTCTGTACTACTGCCTCATCTGTAGTGGTGCAAATTCTGCAAAGTCTGTTGCATCAGTGCACGGATTTTTTTTCTAGGCCACATTCACAAAGGCTTGCAAACTCTTTGGGAAAAGTTATAATTCTAACTACAGCAGGTAGAAGCTGGTAATTAATGGTATCATTACCGAGGACAGCTGTTCTCTAGGTGCTGGCACAGTGATTGTATGTACCATGTACCCTGTGTTGGGCTTCTATATGAAACGTAATCCTTCATGGTGGCCATTCCAAGCAGAAAGTCTGCCTCATCTGGAATGCACTCCAGCTGAAACCTTGCATCTGCTTCTACAGATGAATCCAGCTCTCCAGAATCTGTTTCTATGGTTATTCCTCTCTGAAAAGCGTCACCTTGGCAGGCCTGAATGAAGAAAACTTTTGGTTTTCCGGCAAGAGAGAAGCATTTCAATCCAGTGAAAGAGGTGGTCAGTTCCTGGATAGGTATTTCCTGCCCATCAGTGCCAAATATAATGCCTTTATCTCCATGAGACAGAATA